GTCACGGCACATAGGCGAGAATGCACTTGTTTAGTTTTGGTTCTGTGGTTGATTTATCAGAAACAGAACCTTCTTGAAAGTGTCCTCCAACGTTTTTGGAGATGTGGGTTCTCAGCGCCTCGACAGCTATCGAGATGACAGTCAGCGCTCATCGTACCCCATCGAGACCAGCGTTACCTCAGCGAGTCCTTCAGAATTTTCTCTGTAAATGTCTCTGCAGTGGGTAAACATGAGATATAAACCATTTTGCATATATCTGACAGTCTCACAGTGCAAATCTGTCATTTGTTCAGAGGCAAACCGGCTTGGCTGAGGGAAAAGTTAATGCTTAGAACTTTTTTTTTACTCAACTTTAACGTTGTACTGCAGCAGTACCTCTGTGTTTTACACTGAGCTCGGTGCTTGTCTTTAGTCCCAATTGACCATACTTGTTAAACTAGCTATTACAGTGGATGATGCATGCTAAGGAAGTAGACTGTGATGCTGCTGAAGTTCACTGCATTATCCAGAGAGGTGCTTTCACACCCTTATTCAAAATAGGACGGACAAAATAATAGAAAAGCTCGCTGTATACGGATGCATCTGTTTCGTTGATGGTAATGTGATATATAACTGACTGTGTGGAGCTCGGTAGGTCCAAACAGTGAATCGATTTCAAATTTAAAACAATGCAATTAACAAACTGCAAAAACTGCAGTTTAGAGTATGCAAGGTGTGGCTATTAAATAATGAGACCGATGCTGCAGATCAATTTTATTTAATTTGAGGAGAATTAAACTTTTTTGTAATTGTTTCTCATTAATCAGGGATGCTCGCTGTGGCTCGACTGACCGAAGGCTCATTATTTAACAACCACGCCTGACAAAAGGGCTCAAACTGTCGTGTCAGTGGTTTTATAAGTTCATCGCATCCTCCTTGTGTGGCAGTCACACTGTGAACGGTGTCTCATGTGTTTCATCACATGTTCTTCATCTATTAGACAGTGAATGCTGAACTGAAGTAAAAATGATATTTCAAATTCAATCACAGCAGCCGTCAGAAAAGTCCAAAGAGGTTTTTCCCCAAATGTTTCAGGCCTGATGACAGAGCTGATTTAGTTCCTCCACATGATGAGAACTGGACCATGAAAGACTGAGGCAAGGTCTGAAATCATGTTAACAACAGTCGGATTCAGATCACTAATGTGGCGCATCAGCGCTCCTGTGACAAGTGACTGACACGCAGCACAGTGAGTGCATCGACGGGAATCCTGGAACAATACACGAACCGGCACAGCACAGCCTTCAGCGATAATGAAATGCCCTCCGTTTCTCAGCCTCCTCAGCCCTGAGCGCCAGAGCCGCCTGTTACTCTGTTAACTCGGTCCAGCCCGCAACACTGGAGCGGTTCCATGACAGCAGCGCAAACACACCGCGAGAGCTTCCAGGAATCGGAGGCCGATTCCACAGCGGATGCGGCGCTAACGGTGCTAAGAGAAACACTCGTACAGCTGCTGCTCTTTTCTCACAGCTGTAACACGAGAGCCTGCGAGACACCCAATAATGCTCCTCGCCGTGGATACGACAGGCCCGAGCGCCTCGACGCCCTGCACTGGAAAACAAGTCGCACCTCACCAGTTGTTTCACATCTCTGAGAGGAACTAATCTGAATGTACTCACACTGCTTTCCTGCTTTTTTATTTAAAACGAATCATTAAGACACAACGGATCAGCGAGCCTGGACTTCACCTTGTTTTTAATATAGGCTTCCTTTGAGTATTAAAGCATCAAATCCCATCAGTGCTTCAGCGCCGGGGTCAAGGTCAGGCCCAGATTTATATTTTCATCCAGTTTGAGAGCCTGGAACATTTATCTTGGTGTCTAGTCTCACACAAACAAAGACGTGGAGGTGCAGCCCCTGCTGATGATAATCACCACGAGGCCGCGTCAAGCAATGACAACTCAAACAAACCTCTAGTTTGTACAAATATAGACACTTCTGCTAATCCTATGTGGCTCTGCGGAGATTTAAGGATCACAATCGATGACGGAAAATATAAAATGATCTCCATGAGAGAAGCTGCAGATCAGAGGCGCTCGCTGCTTCTGAGCTTCATACAGCTGAGTTATGTTCAGGCCTGCATGGAGAACAGTTCAAGACATTTATTAGAGACTTTAATGTGTTAATATGATTATTCACACAAGGAAACGTAAAAAGAAAAAAACACACACATGAGAGTGATTTCTTCCTCCCCAGCCTTGTGCGAGTGATTTCCCAGAGGGGCTGAGGGAGCTGTTGACATGTCCTCTTTTTGAGTAGCTGGGCTGCAGCGCTATTATGGTTAGCAAAGCCCATGTTAAGAGGGAGGGTTAAAGCTGTCAGCACATTCAGAACAAGAGAGGAAAAGTGAGCGAGGGGAGCAGAAGTGATGACTTACTTAATAAATCTTGCTTTATCTCGCAAAATGCAGCCGGAAAATGACAAAAAAATATAAAAAATCCATACTAAATAAACAGCCACTGGCACTGTTCTGTGGATTTCTGGGCACATTTTTCTTCTGCTGACACACAACAACCACAATTTCTGCAGCAAGATTCAGCAATCGTGCCCAACAGGGACCGAACGCAAGCCAGCCTCTTTGCCGCTGGTTTGTTTCAGGCTGGAAAACCAGTTAATCTTCCTCTAAGTCTTCACACAAGCCGCCTCGTGCTGCGTTTCCCACTCCTATTCCTGGCATTTAATGCTCATACGGCCGCATGCAAAACATTAAATGAGCCCACAAGAGGGAAGTTGGAACTGCTCGGCAACCACGCTCACGGATGCATCAGCACTGTTGCAACACAGCCTCCAGGCAAAATTCTGCTGAAGCCATTTTAAATATTGGCCTGTGGGGATTTAGGTCACCATTCTGTCAAGCAACAAACTGGTTTTCTCTCTGCACTCTGCTCCGTCTTCAGTCCCAGCTTAAAGCGGGGGGACGCTGTCGGTCGTTTGCTGCGAGTCATTTCGCCTGATTGTTTTTCAAGGTGCAGCACCGGAGGAGTCGGTTCATTTTCCCCGAGTCATCTTTCAAGTGACTTCAAACGGATCGACTGAGCCTCGTGAACGGGGGGATTAAACAACCTGTGAACAGGAGAAAACGAGCTGCACTTGAGGCGGACATGAAGCCCTGTTTTAATCAGACACAGAGGAACAATGACAACCATGCAGAGACTAATACCATCATTCCTGGTAGCTTTTAAACAGAGACAACCTGAGGGGGCTGTCAGATGATTGAGATCAGTTCTCAGAGAGGAATTATCACCGGTGCAGACAGATCATCTTCACAGCAAGGGTTCCTAAATATGTTCAGAAGGGGCTGCAGCAAAATCTGTCTCATCATAAAATGTTAGAAAACACTGAAAATGATCAATCTGACAACCTGACCCCAAGAGATTCATCTTTAAATTGATTATTATGACCAACTTACTGTGCAGAAAGCAAAATAAATCCAATATGCATCATTAAAAATGGAAGAAAAAGCAGCAAAACCTCACATTTTAGAAGCAGGAGGACACAAGAGTTTAGTATCGTTGACTCGTAAATGACTTAAAAGATGAATGAGTGCTAATAATTGTTGAATCTGAGGATTCATCCTCTGCTGACTGACTGATCAGTCACTTCTCTGTCAGACACCCTGATCCACACAGCTGTGATCCAACATGTAAACACATCTCAGCCTGCAGACTAAAAGGAAACCCTCAGATTCTGCCGGACCTCCTGGGCTGCAGAGTTTGTAAAGCACCAGATGTGTGTGTGAGTCTGTGAGCAGCTTCACCTCACACCAGCTGTCTGACAGATCAGCCACATCAGTGCCACGGTGCCGAGCGGTTCCGGTCCAAACTGCGGCTCATCTCTGAGAGAGATCAGCTAACATCAATAACAGAGCCAGGAACACGTGTGGTGCTGAGATCCCCTCTCTGCATTGCACAACATCCAGCTTCACTTGCCCACAGGCTGCACAGCGCAGACTGGCCCTGCGAGCCCAAAACACACACACACACACACACCGGGAACCACTCGATCCTCAAAGTTTCACTCACCAGAACCAGCAGCAGCCTCCTCCCGGTCCGACGGTCCGCGGGGATCACGGAGGTCCCGTCCGGTGCCGGTCACACGGTGTCTCCTGAGAGCGGATCGGAGCTGCGGAGTGTGTGTTAGGGGTGTACCGGGATCAGCTGCTGACCTGAGCTCTGTCCCATGTTTCACACCCTGTCTTCCGGAAAACACGGACGGAGCAGATCAGGCTGCGGAGTGAAGACACCCAGCGGCGGACACACACACACACTCGGACACACACACACACTCCCGCCTGCAGCTGCTGCTGCTGCTGCTGCTGCTGCACCACTGCAATGTGCACACAGCAGCAGCAGGAGTCTGGACACACACACTTGGACTCTGACGGCTCCGTCGCGCGTCGACAGCCGCCGATCCTCCAACTTTTATTATTCGACAGGAGGCGCTCCCCGGGTCCTAAAACCCGCCCTGTTGCTGCGCAGCACCAGCAGCACCGAGCCGAGGCTGTAGCGGAGCTGCAGGGTGCCGCTGCTCATCCACACTCTGTCAGACAGCATCACACATCTATACATCCTGACTGAGGTGGTGGTTTGCTGAGCACTGGGGCCACATGTGGGATCTTCCATGAACGCTGGACGGTGGATCCAGACTGAGCAGCGCCCCTAGCGGCCACTTCCCGCCTCAGCACAACAGAAGCTGAGTAATTAGTGGAGATAAGCAGAGCGGTCACAGATACACACTAATTAGTGACCCTCACTGGAGGCTGATCAACATGTTGCAGACAACAAATTCATCTTGGAGCCCATCACTGTCTTTCTTCGTCTTCTTACTGCTGGTGTTTATTTATTTAAAGGAATAGTTTAGTTTTTCTTTCATTGCTTAACAATTCTGGTTGTTCTATTCTTATACACAGGGCTTAGCAAATGTATTAGACCACCTGTGTAATTTGTTGAAATCATCCAGCAACATGAAGTGCTTTAATTCTCTATTTAAATGTGCAATATCATCAATGACCATGCTGTGCAATATTTTTCTAAATTCATACTGTACATATAACTTATACTGTATATATAACTTATCTTGTTTTATATTGAAATCTCTTCTGTTTTAGTTTTTGCTCTTTATTTTGTTCTTTATTCTATGTTGCACTGAAGGAGCTGCTCTTTATCTCATTGTACATGTGTATAGTGACAATAAAGGCATTCTATTGTATTCTATTCTGTTCTGTTCTAATTCGCACTCAGCTCTCGATGTTTCACCATTTTGAACAGGAATGAAGAATTTCTAACCAAATTCACCTTTTTATACCAAATTTCTCTGACAAGTCAGAAATTATTCAAGCATGACATTCAACCACTAAAACGAACTTTTCTGTTTAGGATTGCAAGCAAATAGCCATAATTTGACATCGTACTCAAGAAATAATAATGTGCTTTAAACACATTACACATCTTAAACATCTTTAAACCTGATCCACTGAGCTACAGTTAGTCTGAGCTCCTCCTGCAGCGAGTGGAGGACGATCAGCACCGTGGAAGGAGAGCTGAAAAAGAAAGCAGCTCAGGACACCCTGCTTCATTCTTTTATCACAAGTACGGCCTTTTGAGGCAAAATATAAAAGTATTGTCTTCGTCTTTGCAGAAAAGAAAGAGAGAATTCTTGAGTTCCCAAAAGAAGATGACAAAACTTTAGTGTTACACTGAGCAGTGTTTTGGATCCTCAAACTGACTTCACTGAAGCTGGTTTCAGGAGGTGCTGTTGATGGGGATAGTGTTCAGCAGGTCTCCCCAGTTGTAGATGACAGCATCATCTTCACAGCTTCTCCTTACGTGGAGTTGTTCTTCTCTCTGGTCTTATTTGCTTTTCTTTTTTAGCCCTGGTTTTATCTATATCGTTGTTTCTAACTCATATTGTCTTCCACTTTGCCGTTATTAAATACACCATGTTTGTTGTCATTGAAGTATCAGAGGATCGTATGAGACAACACTTCTCTGCTGCCATAGAAAAGACACATTCAGAGCTATATGCTGGGACTTTAAGGAAAAAGTAACCTGTGGGCTAAAGGTGCTTTAAAACTATGTTAGATAGAGATATTGGAAATGTGCTACTTCTTGTTGATAGACAGAGAATCAGCTGCGTTTTCTATAAGATGTGAAAGATGTGTGAAGAGCAGTGGATAACATAACTCCAAATGTTTGGTTAAAAGAGTAGGCAACAAGTAAAGAATTAACTAAGACAAGTACTATCCATGTTTTTGTGTCTGTCTTTGTGTGTCCCTTTAGAGCACGGGTGCCCAATCCTGGTCCTCGAGAGCCACAGTCCTGCATGTTTTAGATGTTTCCCTTCTTCCAACACACTTGATTCAAATGAACAGCTCATCATCAAGCTCTGCAGAAGTCTGATAACAATCCTGATCATGTGAATCAGGTGTGTTGGAAGAGGGAAACATCTAAAACATGTAGGACTGTGGCCCTCCAGGACCAGGATTGGGCACCCCTGCTTTAGAGATTGCGTGATTGCTGCTGTTCTTGGCCTCACACTCCTGAGATAAAAGTCTGTATCACAACTTTAACACTTGTTGTGTGAGTGTGTGTGTCTGTGGTGTGTGTGTGTGTGTGTGTGCACTCAGCCCTCAGGTCACCCTGCAGCAGGATCTCATTGAGCTGATGTGATTCCATCCACCTGCTCTGGAGGAGGCTGATCTACCAATCAGGAGCCACCAGGAGGATCTATAACGCCAGCAGACCAGCATTCAACAGCGAGTTGTTGCCGACCCCGCTCATGTGCCTCTTTGTGTCTTATGATTGTTGTACTTTTGAGACACTAGATTCTGTTTGAGAACACTGCATCCACCTTCGATTGGCTGTTAGCTTCACTAGTGTTTGAGTGCTGTTCTGATTGTATCTTTGTTGTTAGATTGGGTTAGTTGGATCATTTTAACTTTATTTTTCTGCATAATAGCAACCTTAAACTCAAGGTTAGAGTCTCCTTTTGCTCTCGTTTCATAGCACTCACTTAGTCTTTAGTTACCTCACTTTTGTGTTTATTGTTAAATCCTAACTTTTGTTAATAAATAACTTCAAACATGGTTTTACCTTACTTCCCTTTTCCCTAAGGAGCTGGTCGTAACAATGCTATATTCAGGGCAAAATCACGCCTCGTAATCTGAAATTAAATTTGTTAATAAAGGCTCATGAAATATTATATTTGCCTGCTTGCACACACACACACACACACACACACACACACGTACAACAAGCCTTTAATCATGACTCATCAAATTTTAGAAAGCATTTGTGCACATTAAAAAAATATTTTCATTTATAGCCGTGATTTGAACCTTTNCTGATAACGATCCTGATCATTTGAATCAGGTGTGTTGGAAGAAGGAAACATCTAAAACATGCAGGACTGTGGCCCTCAAGGACCAGGATTGGACACCCCTGCTTTAGAGATTGTGTGATTGCTGCTGTTCTTGGCCTCACACTCCTGAGATAAAAGTCTGTATCACAACTTTAACGCTTGTTGTGTGAGTGTGTGTTGTCTGTGGTGTGTGTGTGCGTCTGCACTCAGCCTTCAGGTCACCCTGCAGCAGGATCTGATTGAGCTGATGTGATTCCATCCACCTGCTCTGGAGGAGGCTGATCTACCAATCAGGAGCCACCAGGAGGATCTTTCACGCCAGCAGACCAGCATTCGACAGCGAGCTGTTGCCAGAGCCGCTCATGTGCCTCTTTGTGTCTTATGATTGTTGTACTTTTGAGACACTAGATTCTGTTTGAGAACACTGCATCCACCTTAGATTGGCTGTAGCTTCACTAGTGTTGGAGTGCTGCTCTGATTGTATTTTCGTTATTATATTGGGTTAGTTGGATCATTTTAACTTTATTTTCCTGCATCATAGCAACCTTAAACTCTAGGTTAGAGTCTCCTTTTGTTCTCGTTTCATAGCACTCATTTAGTCTTTAGTTGCCTCACTTTTGTGTTTATTGTTAAATCTTAACTTGTGTTAATAAATAACTTCAAACACCTCATGACGGTTTTACGTTACTTCCCTTTTCCCAAACGAGCTGGTCGTAACAATGCTATATTTATCATTTTATGCTGCTTTTCCACTCAGCTGGGCAAAATCACGCCTCGTAATCTGAAATTAAATTTGTTAATAAAGGCTCATGAAATATTATATTTGCCTGCTTGCCCACACACACATGTACAACAAGCCTTTAATCATGACTCATCAAATTTTAGAAAGCATTTGTGCACATTAAAAAAATATTTTCATTCATAGCCGTGATTTGAACCTTTCATTTGCTGCCGGTTAGAATATTTCAGCATAAATTATTTAACAGAAATATGACTGAGAGTAAAAATGTGTGTCAACAAGCCTGGTCTCCCCTACAACATGTAAAACACAACTGAACATATTTATTAATTTAAAATAAATAAATAAATCAAACAAAGATCTTCTGTCTACTTAATTTATCATGAAATAATTAAGAAACTGCTTCTCAGTCAAATGTCCACTGAATCTGTGAAAATGGATGCGATTCCTAAACACCATATTCGTTAAACATCATGGATTCAAGCTGAAAGTCAACATTTTTAGTCACAATATTAATTCAAAATCGAATACGGTGATGCAAAATTATAACTGTATTGCTGCGGGACCTGATTTTATTTAAGCTCAAGCGAGTGACATCATTTAATATCATTACGCGACGGGGTAAGCAGGCTTTGGAGAGCATTTCACCAAACTGCTGGTGAAAATATTTAACCAGGAGGCATTCCCACGTCACATGCACAAAGTCATTAAGATCAGGAGACGCTGCCAGCTTCACTGAGGGGTGGAAACAGTCAGAGATTAAAGTTGTTTTATAGTTCATGAACAACCAGCATTATTAGACTTCATGTGTCCTTGGAGCTGCTCTGAGTTTATTTAGAGTAACCGTGTTAGATGATGCAGAGTCACACAGCTGACATGGAAGTAAACTCTACACACTAAAATACGCTCACCATCACAATACTGGGAGAAACTTTTACCAGCAGTAGACACAACAAGCTCCAGTCTGACCTTAAAACCGTCACAAATTAGCTGTTAGTTGCACAAAACGATTTGCATGTGACATTCAAAACTGCACACATTAAAATGACCAGGAATAAACAGTGACATTTAAAAAAAAACAAGATTAGATTGTACCCATTTGCAAAAACATCACACGGTCATTCATTATGTCACCTGATTCCCAAATGTATCCTTTAATTTGTATTAAACAAACATCCCACATGATGGAGAATCATCACAGACGGGATCCTGG